AAATCACATTTCCTCATTCTTACACGTAGCTCAGACTAAATTATACCTCTTTATCTCAGTTTGAATTTTCTGGAAAACAGACATGGAAAACTAGGCTTATTCCAATTAGTTTTACAGCAAAGTGCATCGGTTATCCATGTGGCCCTGGGGCAGTCTCTGAGAGGATGTTACCATCACTGGACAGAGAACTCCAAATGAGTCTGCCATAGTCTCTCCACGATCACCCTCCGTACATAGTAGCATCTCCTCTTGTGCAATCCTGGCAGAGCTTTTCCATAGACCCAGGCTTTCCCTCACCTACCTGTAGTTTTAACTCCCAAGAGCAGTTGTTAATGAGGAACTTTGAGAAGTGTCTCCTACTGACAGCCACTACCAACTGGTTCAGGGGATATTTTTATCTCTCTTTGTCTGGGGAGGCAACAGCTCTGATTGAAGAGCCATGGCACAGGCTGCAGTGGGTTAATGGAACCAGGGCAGGCGATGACAGGAATTCTATTATTACCAAGCACCAGCTCCTTGACCTCTGTTCTTATAACTAATACAGGGCGTGGGGACAAAGGGATTTCTGAGTTGCTTTTATTCCCCAAGTGTTTATCATCCCTTGTTAATGACTTCCATTTGTGGTTAATTGAATCAGAGACCAAAGAGGGACACAAGGGATAGACAAAGGGCTTGGCTTTGGAAATAAAGTTTAATCAGTCTCTTGGCCTTCAAGTCTGTTACCACACAGGTCAGGGCACATCTACCTTAGAGGAGCTGCAGGTGAAGTTCTGCACGTGCTTGGGCTTGGCTTATAGGAAATTGGACATCAGGCCTACTGGAGTGACTGTGCGTTTGGACTGAAACACAGAGTTCCCCCAGCCATCTCTGCCTAGGGCGTGATTAACAAAGTCCTCCCAGCCCTAGAAGTGACTCACAGCCACCTTAATCCACCACGCAGTCCCTCCTTAATGCAGGATTCCCCCAAAGCGCTTCATCTAAGTTGCTTCACAGTGAAGTGTGTTAGACACGGTTTAGTGTTTAGCAGGTAGTTGGTAATACAGCTTCTCAAGCAGCATTGATGCCAAGTGGAGTTGTAGACAAGAGGTTCTCTTCTGCCTCCTTTCAGAACCTCACTTAGAGATGTCTGCTGTGGAAAAGGTACTCACTAAATGTGCAAGGCTTCCTGTAGGAGTAAGAGACAAAAGAGTGAGATTTTACTGGAGTGATTTGGTTTACTCCTGATGTTTTATTATACATGGCATGTCCCAATGCTTACTGGAGTCTTTTCAAGGTGCATCCCTTAGCTGCCATCTGTTTACCCCAGGCACTGGGCTTAAAATTCTAGTGGAATCCAGTAGGTGAGTGATCATATTTATTAATGGAAGTCAGAACCCTGCAGTTCTCACTTGTGGATGACCTAGGATGGTGTCGAGAAAAGTTCCCATAACTGGCCTTTTGCTTCTTTCAGTGCTTGGGTATGAGACCAGGAGTCTGAGTCCAGAGAGCTCCATGCGTCTCAGCTTCGGCACTTGGCAACTTGTGGCCCTTTGCAGTCCCTGTGTTCTACCTGGGACAAGGGCTCCTTCCTTCATCCCTCCACCCTTCTCTAGCCTGACCCCTGTGGCCTCATCTTCCAAGATGGAGAGTCAGCTCTTCTCAGACTCTTTCCCTAAATTCTACCCTAGCCTCCAGCCTGCTCTCTGCTTCCCTGGGACCACCTTGGACCCCTCCCCTGCCTCCACCATCCTTCCCGGTATGCTTTGTCTGCATGTCTGTGAGCAGATGTAGGGCCTCATCTGCTGCAGGATGCACGGGCCTTGTTCAGGGCCTGGGATTCTGTGTGTGCTCAGTAAAGAGTTGTTCTTGCTGAGGCCCTTAAAGGAAGCACAGAAGGTCTCAGAAAGCTGCAGTTAGGTGAAATCTGTGTACTAGTATTCAGGTCGTTGCAACCCTTGAGACACAGCTCACAGCCAGTTGACTCTCATTTTAAATGCCATTCCAGTGAGCCTGATGCGGCAGCAACACCTCTGGGAAAAAGGGTGGTCACTGATGACCTGGATAATGGGTAGAGGGATGTGATGTCTCTGGAGCCACCTGTAAGACAGCTTTCAATCTACATGTTTCACAGTATCTTATCTTCCATCTTTCAAATCACAGTAAGGAAAACATGGAAGAAACACCTTGCTTCCATTGATAAGAGTAATCTGTACTCTTCATAGAAATTTGAGAGATCCGTAAAAAGAGATGTCATTCCAGATCCCCAAACGGAAAGTTGACTTCTGTCATTACACGGGACTTTTTTGTCCTTACATGCATATGTGTATCTGGCTATAACTGAAGTCATTCTGCATTTCCACATTCTTTTCTGAGCTAAAAATATCTTCATCAGTCACCAGGCAGTAGCATCGTCACCTTCTGTGGATTTTTCCCTTGTCACAGGGGCCTGGTGACATGCTTAATATGGTTTTATTTCTGGTGATGTCTTGTCTCTCACCCCACACCTACCCCACACAGTAATTAACGATAAGTAGATCTAGTTTTGTGAACACTGGAAGGTTTTGTCATTTGTTTCCTTCCCTCCGATGATAATCTTGGAGAAACTGTACTGGAATCTTCCCTCTCCCATCCCCCTCAGCAGACATTTTAAAAGAGGGTGAAAATGAATTTAGTTCACTAAAGGGTTTCCTTACAGTAAAAAATAAAACACTTAGCTGGTTGATGAACATATTTTTATTTCTATGCCTTGCCCGTGCCTTGTGACAAGGTCTTTGATAGACTGGACATGGCTTCATTTAACGCTAGTTACGTCCCTGGCTTGCTTCTCGTTCCTGCCTGTTTCAAGAGCCCATTGCAGCCCCAGGGCTGTTCTGTGAGTCACTTGAGACCTGCCCTCAGGATTGTGGGTGGAGCCAAGATGGAGGAAACTAAGCAAGACCAGAGGGCAGTGTTTCCAGCCCTCACATCTGAAGTGTAGCCCAGAGTCTGACTTTTTAGACTGTGGATCTGAAGATCTTGTGTGCATTCAAACTGGACAGAAGCTTGTCCTTCTGATACTCTGATCTTTCGGTGCCTTTTGCCTTGTGTGCATAAACTGGGAAAGGAAGAAAGTCCCTGTAGAATACCCTTATTCTTTTGATGCCTGCTGCCTTAGAAACTCTTACCAACGACACTGACTTACTGCAGCCTCAGAATGGCTACTCACCCACTGACCCACTTCCAGTAATCAGATGTTCAGGGTGATTGGAAATCTAATGACTGCTAGCCACATCCATAAAGAAGGAGAACAGGCTGGTTCACATACAGTGCAAGGCTGACCTACTTGCTCAGGGCCCTGCGGCTACCCCTCCAGAGGAGCCCTGTGTTAATGTAACAACTTCCTGTGCAGGTGTGCTTTGGGAGTTGTCTCCAGGAGTGCCTACCCTCTGATCAGAATATTCGCTAACATGTCCCGCCTGCCCATGTGAGTCCTACCCCTGGAGAAAACACAGGACAGCCATGACTCATCTGAGTAACCCAATTCTGCCTCTCCTTCTGTCATTCACACTCAGATGAGGGCCCCTAGCTTAGTCACAGGGCTTACTATATTTGTATAGTGTTCCCTTGGGCTTCAGTTGGGCCACCTGAAGAGTTGCGTTAGTGGTGGTATTTTTGATTTTTGTGAATCTTGCCATTTTGCCTTTGTTCTTAAATTCATGATTCTTGCTAATAGAGGCAGATATAGATAATATATACAGGTGATTTTTCCTCTTCTAATTAAGGTTTTACTTAAGATAGGGACTAGGAGGTCCTGATAGAGATCTGCTTGTTTGAGGCAGTGAGCAATAGGAGGTGAGCCAGAACCGGAAGACTCCCTACCATTGTTCTGCTGAGATGCTCTGAGCAAATTGATGGCATTGAAAACTCCGAGTAACAGTGGATTGCTGCGTGTATGCATTGTGTGGTAAAACCAGTTTCCTACATGGTGACCTCCTATACCCCCACTCCTCAAGAGGATCACTGTCCTGAAGGGAGAGTAGTCACCACAGGTCTAGGCTCACAGGTCACTTGAGGCACCTCTCCCAACCCTCACTTAGGTGCTCAGATGTCCCTGGTTTCTCTCCCTCTTCTTCCAGTGTTTACCAGAATGTAAAGATTTGCTGTTTATGTTTTTTGGTTTTAAGTACTCTATGTTTCTTGCACCAAGTATTTTAGGGGTGGAACTCTATCTTTTAAGTCTTCTCCATTGGGTTCCCAACACCCCAGTCAGTAGAGGAAGTGAGGAAATCCATTGATGTTAGAAGTTCATGGATCAAAGCCTTTTACCCTGTGAATCTTTGAGCCATTGGTTGTTAGCTGAACACAAACCACTCACTCGCATTATGCAGACCTACTGTCCACAACGCCTTAATGCACCACCTGTGTAGTCCCTGGGCTACTGCACAGGGACATTTTAGGAGACCATTTTCCTTGTCTGGTGAGCATCTCTGAGGTAAGAGGGCCTCCCATGTGTTTTATACTCACTTCTGACCCATGGTCTTCTGATGGACTGGAGGCTTTCCGACACAGAGGCTACTCAGAGATTGCCATTGGACAGCCATTGGCTGATGTCGTTAAAGAGATTTACCTTTTCTTTGTCTTCCACTCAGTTGTGAGGAATGAAACACCCACTCAGCACCCAGTACTTTATGATGAGCTCTGCATGCTCCATTGAAGGCATCTGCCAAAGGACTTAAAGTGTTCTCTTCCCTTACCCAGCCTTTGGGGTTCAAGACCAAAACTAGAACCAAAGTCTCCAAAGCCTTCCCTGTTGGTGATATAGAAAATCAAGGCTGTGTATTATCCAAAGGGGATCCTGGTGTCACTCTTCCCTGAGGAATCCAAGGGTCCCACCCCCCAGGTTCCTCCTCTGCTCTCTGACCTGCCACTGTCTGTATGTTTCATGGACTGTCTCTGCTGAAGAGGTCTTCAGCCTCGCTGCACACCCAGGCATCACAGTACGATGAACTCGGCTAATTGCTTCATCCTGTGTTTGCATCTAGGATCGCCTGTTTTTTGTGATGGAGTTTGTGAATGGAGGAGACTTGATGTTCCACATTCAGAAATCCCGTCGTTTTGAGGAAACCCGAGCTCGTTTCTATGCCGCAGAGATCATTTCTGCACTCATGTTCCTGCATGAGAAAGGCGTCATCTACCGGTGAGTTTGGGTGGGCTCCTCCTAGCCTCACTGACCCCCTGCTCATCTCGAGGGTTGATTAGCTTTCCTTTCTCATGATAATCAGCTGAAATCCTTGATAGTGAAATTCACAGAAGGCCTAAGTATTCATTAGAATAAGTGAACTAACATAGAGATGAATTCTGCCTCCAAACTAAAACCCAGCCTGTCTGGATTCAGAAGAGGGTATTATTGGTGGATTGGTTCAACCAGCATTTGCTGAGGGCTTGTGGCCCCCAAGCCCTGTGAGATGCACATGTTGCTCCTCTTCTTTTTCCATTTTAACATTTGAATTGAATTGGTTAATATGAATCTGTTCTCTTCTAAGAATCTGCACCTAAGCTGAGCCCTGTGGCTGGCTGTTGCTCTGACTGTTGGTAAAGGCAATTGGTTCGATGAGGTGGGTTTGCCAATCTGCAGCTAAGCCTATCAAACGGGCAGGTGTCCTGCTTGGTGTTATTTGTCATTTGTAGCCTCCCCCCAATAGTGTTTGATTCCATTTTGCAACACAATCTTTTGATCATAATAGACAGTAACTCGAATGAGCTCAAAATCTGGTTGGCGTTCTCAATGGACAGCAAATGAAACAGTCTCCAGATGGTGGAGAATGTGAGAAACGGCACAGTGAGTTTCAGGGGGGGTTTCCTGTTGAAATTTCCTTTTTTTCCTGTTGTCAGAATCCCTCTACTCTAAATCACGACTTGGTTGCTGCATGTGATAGTTTGTTGTAATTGTCAACTTGACACAATCTAGAATCATTTGAGAAGGGAGGCTGAGGGCTTGTGTAGATTAGGGTGGCCATGGGCATGTCTATAGGGAATTGTTTTGATTATATTCATTAATGTGGGAAGATTCATCCTAGACATGGGGAGCACTGAGTTCCCTGAGTTTGAGTCCCAGTCTGTATTAAAAAGGAGAAAGTGGGCTGAACGTGAGTAAGCATGCGTGCATTCATGTCTCTCCACTCTCGACTGTGGATGTGATGTGACCGGCTGTTTTAAGTTCCTGCGGTCTCCAGTTCTCTGCTATGATGGACTGTGGCCTGGAATTGTGAGTTAGAAGCAACCCTTTCTCCCCTAAGTTGCTTTTTGTCGGAGTATTTTTATCATAGCAACATATATGAAACCAGGACAGCACAAGCACCTGCTTTTCTCTGGTGATGCAGTTCTTTTCTTTGGAACATTCCTGATTGAAATGTGCTGTTTGTAAGTCATCCATCTCTACTCTGTTACCCCAAAGAGACTTTTCCACATGTACTTTTTAGAATAATGGCTTCCCTACTTGATAAGAATTTCGGTTGTAGATCAAAATAATATCAGCCACAACAACTATATTGCACACTTGTTTCAGGATCAACACTTTACCTATATTTGTCCTTTATTCCTCCTTAACATTATTATCATTAGCATTGTTTAGATGAACAATTGAGTTTTAGAAAGATGTAATAACCAGACTGCTAGCAAGTAGTGAATCAAGAATTCAAACCATGTCTTTGACCACTGGTCTACCTGATTGTTCAGGAGAGACTTAGAGATTGAAGATACCATTAGAGGACTGCTTTCATAGTCCACTCTCAGTTTCAGGATAACTTTCCTCTTGAAAATAAGGGGTAAGCCAGGTGTGGTGGCACATGCCTTTAATCCCAGCACTCAGAAGGCAGAAGAAGGCTGATCTCTGTGAGTTTGAGGCCAGCCTGGTCTACATAGTAAGTTCTAGGCCTACTGGGGCTACGGGGAGACCTTGTCTTCAAATAATAATGATCATCATCATAATCATCATCATCATCACTGGGTAAAAGGGGTAAGGCTTAAACTCAGGTGGCTTGACTCCTCAGGGCCTTTCCTTACACAGCACATTGCATTGATGACCAGCAAGCTTGCTTTCCCAGGTTTAATGTCACTACTTCTGTGTCCACTTGATTCATCTATCTTGTAATACAGAGCATGGGCACCGTAGCTGATGTTGGTTCTGATGAGGCAGTAGCCACATCTGTTTTCTTTCCATTTCTGGCTCAGTTCTAAGAACTGATTTTGGATCTTTATGTTCATGCACTGACATGGCTGACTTTGAAGAGAGCACATTTAATTAGGATAGACTTCAGTGCTATTTTTGTCCTTTGGATTTGTTTCACTGGATAATTTAATTCCACCAGACTACTGGCTAGGACCAGTGTCTTCAGGGTGAGGCTCTAAAGTCCTTGGAATTCACACACAGTTAAGGGCGTATTTGGGTACAGAGGGTGTGAATTTGATATAGGAATCTAGTGAAAAGTTGGGAACATGAGACAGCTCCATTTATCAGACATGTCCTAAGATGGCCTTTATCAGAAGTAGAAGAATCTCTCCAGAAGATTCCTCTGAACTATCTAAATAGTTATTGGAGCTTATTTGTTTGTTTTGTTTTATTTTGAAGGCTTTTCTTCCTGGGCATGTATAGCTTAGTTTCCAGAAAATTATAAAGATGGTCGTGCAAGTCATTGTGAAGTAGGACCTTAGAAGGTGCCTTCTACTCCCTCCTGCAAGAATTTCTCTGTTTTCACTGACTGTACCTGTAGGGAGAAGAGAAGGCAGGCCACACTTCCATGCTTTTCAGCTTAAACTCACTCTGACTCTCCAAAGCCCAGGTCCTGGGAAGTGCAGCTGCAAAAGGCTCTGCCCCATGCCTTTGGCTGCAAAGTCGAGAGCCTGCTGAAGTCCCAGAACAAAAGTAAGTGGGCGGCAGAGCAGGGAGCCATGGAGTCAGCTTTGCCAAAGGAAGAAGTACTGCCCAATCCTGTGCCCTGTGCTTACCAGGAATCCAGACAGTGCTCATGAATAATTTCAACCTGGCTTAGAACTTTTTCCAGAGTCAAGGCCTGCAGAAAAACTAGGGGGAAAAAATGAAAATGTATAGCATTACGGGCACCTTTTCCAGTCACGCTTTACAAACTGTGTTAAAGCAGAATTCGGCCAGCTCTGCCATTTCCACTCCCAAGCCCACCAGCACATGCTTGCTTTGGCAACTCTGACAAAGTGTGGAGTGTATCTTCAAAATATTGGGCGAGGAAGAGTTTATGGAACTTTAAATTCTGGTGTCTACTTGCCATGCTACACTTAAACACACAGGACGTCTCAATACTCACTTTCCCATGTGAGTCTGACAAGTCTGACTGCTTTGGGCATCCCACAGTGCTTGGCAAGGCTGTGTGTGTGGTGATCAGTGTTCACGCCCAAAGTGTGCCTGGCACGCTGTCTCTCTTCTTATACTATAAAGTATAGTATTAACCTTTGACCTTTACTGAAAATCACCTTGGATTTCAATACAGATTGAGAGAGAATCTGCCTCATTTGTCTTTTTTTTTTTTTTTTTAATTCTTGCAAAACCAGGCATCAATTGCAGGACAAACACTCTGTCATAGACTTATAATGCCAGCCCTTTCTTAAATTCAGAATTTGGGAAAATTCAGTATCCCTCCAATGAAAGTTCTGGTAAACTAGGCCCCAAATACAGTGGCTAGCACTGTGTGCAGTTTCCCATGTCTAACATCGCCTACCTCTTTTCTCAAAGCCAGAATCAGGGGCTGTGGGGGCCTAGCTGGTCCTGATATCTGTGTGATCTGAACTTAGCTGTGTGCATGTAGCATTGCTCAGTGAGCCCATGACGAGGTTGCGTCTGTGACCATTGCTTCCTTTGCTAGAGATTCACAAGGAATCTGCTTCCAAATCAATCCCGTGTTGGTTCTGTGGCAGATGTTTCTTGTGTGAATCATCACTCTCCGCAGTTCTCCCCTTCTGGAAAATGGGGGCAGCATCTCTGATCCCGCCGCCTAGGGCCTCCCTAACTCCTCAGCATTCTTACCGGCGTACTTGCAGACCCTCCAAATGTCTTTCATTTGCATCTAGAATGTTGTAATCTTACTTCACCTACATTAGAATTTAATACCATATTTGTGTTTTCCCTCTGCATGTAATAAGAAAAATCTTTCTAGATAAAGATAGCCAAATTCAGTAGCTCTAGTTTCCCTGTCATCAAATGACATCATTCTTTCGGCTCCTACAAGCAGGTTCACTCTTTTCACTCGCTTACTGCAAGACGGCTACTTGTCATTTGTTATCTTTGTAGTCCGTGTTTATTCGGAACCAGCCACAGGGATGTGCAGTACATGAGTAACTTTCACCTGAGGTTTTGTCACCAAGCCTTCCCCAGAACCTTTCAGTCACGTTCCCTCCTCCTCCTTTGTCATGCTTTGCTCTGCCTTTGGTGGCCTCATTCAGGGACTAATCTTCCACTGTCACCAGAAAGTGACTATTCCTTTTCCAAGGACATATGGAAAGCTCAGAGCTCCCCAGCTTATTGAACTTACTTGACACCCTGCGTGTATGACGTCTCCCCTTTCCCACAGGGACGCACTCACTTAGCCTTTTCCCTTCCACTGAACAGCCCTTGGAGACCACTTAGCAAGGGTTCAGTGACCATCAGCTGTCTGCCAAGGAAGGAACATGATGATGAACAAAAACAAAAATATTCCCTGGTGGAGAGTATAGACTAGTGCAGGAGAAAGACGTCAAGCGGTCACATAGAAATGGCAAGTGTGGCCAGTGCCATGAAGCAGAGAGATGCAGTTCTGTGGCTGAGAACTTCCCAAGGGCAATCTGGTCTGGTTGTGGGGAAATGGAAGATTTTCTAAAGGATGTGATATTTAGACTGACATCACTAATGAGGAGGGAAGAGAAGAGCATTCAGGGCAGAAAGAGCAGCAAATGATGCATATGCCCAGTAGCAGGAGGGAGAATGGGAAGCGTAGGGGCTTTTAAGGGACCTGTAGCTAGAGTCCATGAGGCATATTTTCCCACAGTAAGTACTCCATTATCCCAGAGTGTTCACAGTCATTTGATGACTTCAAAATTTTATTAGACACACCTCGTAAATAATTTATTTGAAAGTTAGGTAAGGCTGGTCCTGCTGCCAATCCCTGAGGAGCCATTCAGTCACCACGAGTTTCT